TGGGCAGGCACTTTCCTAAATGGAAGTGGCCTGCCTGCTTGCATGCAGCCTGGCTGCGCTGGGCCCCTGCCCAGAAGCTTCCGGTAGGCCCAGAGAGGCTGAGCCCCAGTCCAAACGAAACAGGCCCTGGGCCTGTGGCGGTTGCCCGTGACCAACTGCCCGCGGCCTGTGTTCGGTCCATGTTGTGAATCTGGCTCAGGGACTGCCTCAGTTACATTCGAAAGAGGCGGTGTGGGCCTGGGCGCTCTCAACCAACTGGCGCTGCGCAACTGCCTGAATTTACCCAGTTGCGTGATGACCCCAAAAATAGGCCTGTAGGCCCTGGGTTGAGCCTGCCTTCACTTCGGGCGGCCGACTGTAAAGAAAATAGGGCCCAATAGGGCAGATCGAGGCCTTGAGCCTCGCATTCCCTCCTCCATACTTCGCTAGTCCTCTGAGAAGTTCATTCAATGTGGCGCTTTCCTTTCTGCAGCAACTTCTCATAGTGGGCGACAACCTGCGGTGCGGTCTGCATCAGGTCCTCTCGTGTGAACCATCTGTCCTCCTTTGGATCAGTGTGATGTCTGAACCGAACTCGGTACTGCAGCTTCGGCTTCGGAGGACGTCCCCTGCCTGTCGGTCTTGGAACCGGCATTTCCCTGTGGTCCACGATGTCGTCGATGCCGACTTCTCCGTCCATGGTCGGGGGCAGCATTGAGCAACGTGTGGGAAGCTGATCAGTTTCCTCGAAAGGTGCAAGTTTGGAGGCATGAAAGACAGGGTAAGTGTGAAGATGACCAGGGATCCGGATTACATAGGATTGCCCATCCGGATCTTCCCCAACAACATCCAGAACCTCCCATGGTCCAAAGTACCGTGGCATGAGCTTGCGGGAGATCCCGTGCTCCTGTCCTAGCTCTGAGGGCTTTACCCAGACTTTGTCCCCTACCTGAAATGTAGAAGGCCAGCGGTGTCTGTTCTCAAACTCTATCATTGCCGCCTGTGCCTTATGCATCTGTTCTACTGCCTGCTGCATCAGTTGTTCATAGCGATAGGCAAATTCAAGTGTGCCCGGTGCAGCAGTTGGCTGGTTGCAAGGTAGTAGAAAGTCTAAGGGCAGTCTAGGCTTGAAAGCCAGTAGCAGACTGTTAGGACTTACCCCAGTGGCGCTGTGCACAGCATTGTTGTACAGGCTGGCGATAAGAGCAAGTTTCTCATCCCAATCCGCGTGATTGGGCTTAATGTAGTGTCACAACAGGTGTTGTACAGTGCGGTTCAGCTGCTCTGCTTGGCCATTTGCCTTTGGGTGGTTCCCAGATCATCTGCAGCTGTGTTCCCTGTTCTGCAGCTGCAGCCTTCCACAAATGACTAGTGAATCTGACATCCCTATCACTCACAATAGACTTTGGAAGTCCAAAGTCTCTGACCCAGTTCTCTTTGAACAGTTTGATCACATACTCGGTTCTTGCTGTAGCAGGCATTGCAACTAATCTAGCATACTTACTAAACCTATCCATAATGATATAGATATATCTCATTCCACTCTTGCTGGTGACCAGTGTGTCCATGAAATACATAGACAGGCTCTCACCGGCCCTTTCCGGAATCGGAAGGGGCTTGAGAAGCCCAAGAGGGGACTGTCTACGTGGCTTGTCTCTCTGACACACCAAACAAGTCTCCACGTACAGCTTCGCATCTTTTATCATTGTGGGCCACCAGAACCGCTGCAACAGATTTGTTGCAGTCTTTCTATACCCAAAATGTCCGGTGGCATCATGACATTCGCCTAAAAATAAACTACGCAAAGACTGCCGATTAGGCACACAAAGACGTTTATTCCCAGCCTTCTCAAGGAACAGCAGGCCATAGATCAACTCAAACTCTTCAGACGTAACTTTATTCTTTGCCTCGAGTCTGCATATGATCTCTGACATGAATGGGTCCTCGCGATAGGCTTCCACCAAAGACTGAGTAACATCGTCCGCAAGCCCAAAATCAGTGATCAGCACACCGAGAAAATCTGGACTGCGCATCAGCAACCTTGTTGTACTCCCCCTTGATGTACTGGGGTTCGAAGTCATACTGCTCAATGACTTCGATCCAACGCTTCAGAGCGTCGGAGAATACCGGTTGAGTCTTCATCCATCTCAAGGTCTGATGATCAGTCCTGACGTAGAAGAAGCGATCTAGGAGGTAGTGCCTCCAATGGGTTAACGCTTTGTAGATCGCATAGAGATCCTTCTCATAGGTGGACTTGGCCAACTTTTGAGAGGGCATCGTTTTGGACATGTACTCTACCGGCCTCAACTTCTTCCGGTTGGTTGGCATCCGTAGTCACAACGAAAGGTTTGTCAGGATCAGGAAGTTTCAAGACCTCATGGTGTGTCAACGCATGCTTCAGATGTCTGAAAGCAGCCTCACACCTGTCCGTCCACTCCCATGGGGTGTAAAAGCGTGTTCGGTCCGTCAAAGGGGCGGCCACTATACTAACAAAGTTGCAGTAGTGGCCTGTCATCCCTAAGAAGGACCTCATCTCAGTCACAGACTGAAGATGCGGCCAGTCACGAATGTTGGCCACCTTCGCGTCATCGGGCTTCAAACCCTCTGCGAAAATCGCATGACCCAGGTACAAGATCCGGGTGCGGCCAAACTCGCACTTCTCCTGGTTGGTCTTGAACTGGTGTTGTCTGAGGAGGCTAAGGACTTTATCTAAGTGCACTACATGCTCGTCGACAGTCCTACTAAAGATAACAATGTCATCGAGGTACACGATGACAAATTTGTCCAAGTAGTCACGAAATATCCGGTTCATCTTGTGCTGAAAGGTGCCAGGAGCATTGCAAAGGCCGAAAGGCATCATCATAAACTCGTACAGATCATACCTGGTCTGAAATGCGGTTTTGTGTTGATCCTCGCGCCGGATGGCAATCTGATGGTACCTGGACTTCACATCTATCTTACTGAAGTACTGGCACCCTTGCACTCGTTCCAGCAAGTCATCGATGCATGGTAGGGGCTCGGCGTTCTTCACTGTGATGGCATCGAGGCCCCTATAGTCAATGCACATCCTCAAGGTCCCCCCTTCTTTGGTACAAATAGTATAGGAGATCCGTAAGGGGAAACACTAGGCCATATCCGGCAATTCTCTATGAGATCCTTGAGTTGCCAGCGAAGCTCATCGAACACCTAGAGACGTCCAATAGATCCTACCCTTCGGAATGCTAGACCCTGGGATAATCTCTAT